ACAAGAGGAGTATTTTAGGCTAAGCGGATGGAAGCGCAGACTTTTACCGGTCGTAATCTATAATGAGAGCAGGGTAACACGTACTTGACAATTTCCTGAAATTAATTTATCATGTATTTCCGATTAATTCTTATGCGTATGGATACCGCTTTGAGACAATCCTCAACATTAATCGTGCAGAACGTAAACTGTACATCAAAAATCCCCTAATCACAGATAACTTACTTGTTTGATAAAAGGTCTTCTTTACACTGACCTAGTTTTCTTCCTGCTAGGTCTATACAAAAGGCCAATAGGCGCTTTGATTTTTTTTATTTGCTCTTGGTAACTGAGACCATCGCATAATCCGCCCAAAACATTTTGACACTGCGTGAATTGATTAGACGGACTCCAATATTTTCGAATTTGCATTTACTCCTTTGCTCTTTTTTAAACGACACAGGGTTTTAAAAATACATTTTTTCGCTGCTTCACTTCTAGTGCCAGCGCCATAACTTCGGTGGTCCAGTCTGCGGGCCAAAACCAACGTACGAGAACAAACGCGAATTCACGCATTCGCAACTGAACGCTTCAAAGGGCATTATCGGTCTGCAAGCTGGTTACAACAAGGGCGCTAACCAATCCGGCCTCAGCTTTGGAGCTAGCCGTCACGTGGCCGACTTCAAGGTCGACGAGATGTCTGCTGGAGGCAAGAGTCTGATTGGTTTACAGGCAGGATCCAACCTAGGCGCCAGCCAATCTGGTATGAGTATGGGCGCGCAGAGACACATTGCAGATATCAAGGTCGATCAGATGTCTGGTAGTGGTCAGACCGTCATCGGCCTCCAGGCGGGGTCAAATCAGGGAGCCAGCCAATCAGGGATGAGTATGGGTTCAGTGCGCCACATTGGAGACATCCAGAGTGGCGAGCTCTCCAGAAGTGGTCAAGGCGTTATCGGACTGCAGGCGGGCAGCAACAAAGGCGCTTCGCAGACGGGAATGGCCTTTGGAACCCAGCGACACATAAACGACCTTAACGTTGGAGGGAGAAAATGAAAACTTGATCTGAAGCCCAAGTCCCACTTCTTTAAGGTCTAACTGAGCTCTTGGAAACATTCATGGTCGATTTGCATGCTGACCGAAATTATTGACGTGTACTCCCAACAACCCTTAATCTGCTACTCCTTTCAATCATATTGACAAACCTATAATTCCCATTGTTCGAAGCAAAGCAAATGTGCAAAGCCTGCTATAAAATCTTCCTGGTTAGCGGGACGAAAAGCGGAGATATCGAAGACAGACTCATTCTCTTCTGCTCGTATACAAAATAAACTCACGAATGAAGGCGAAATTTCGAGTTCCATGTGTATGCATAAGTGAAGAAGATTCGAGCACCGGAATACCTCGTTTATTGTCCTGAGCTTTCAGACTTGTACAGGAGTCCATCGTCAGAGGTAGTGGCAGCAACAGAACAAACGGCAGTTATAAGGCATGTAGGCCCAATCATCGACCGATGGCGCAAGACTGGAGGTGACTACGCAGGACTGTACGCCGGAGCTAGATCGATAAATCGATTGGCGGAGTTCTCATCCGAGGCGACGCATTATCACAAGTGGCCGCCCACACCTAGGAAATGGGTCACGAGTTTAACATCGCATCCGCCAAAATAGTCGCTCACACCGGAAACAAAACAGGCCGAGAATTGGCTGAAGCCGGACCTCGGATGAGAACTCGGTCAATCGATTTATCGATCTGGCGCTGGCGTACAGAGCCCTGCGTAGTCACCTCCAGTCTTGCGCCGTCGGTCGATGATTGGGCCTGCATGCCTTATAACTGCCGTTTGTTCTGTTGCTGCCACTACCTCTGACGATGGATTCCTGTACGAGTCTGAAAGCTCAGGACAATAAACGAAGTGTTCCGGTGCTCGAATCTTCTCCTTTACAAAATAAACTGATAAAGTCTGACAGATCGGCGATGTCAAAGCCAACCCTCGCAGCTGAACTGTTGGCTACTCTATTTAGCACAAACGGCAACAATAGGCTTCCCCTGGGCAACTGTAAAAGCACCCGCATGATCGTACTGGACACCATACAGCAGCTTTCTAACGCCCCTATTTGGGACGTCTCGCCTTTGTACTTCATGTTAGCCTGGCCTCAACAAGGGGCAGACGCGCTGGACGAAAATGGGAGTCAGATTGGCTCACGGTACGCGTCTACCCGGCAGCCCATAACTACTGCCTTTAATGGGTGTTACAGGCTTCAGCAGTGAGTCTTCACGCTGTGTCAGCCACAGCTCTCCCAGAGCCGCCACCTGCTGGTTGCCTAGCTCGGACATCCGGCCGGTGCATGACGGAATAGTGAGGTCGATACCGGGCAGTTCATCCCCCCAGGGTGACTCAGTGCATTCCCTATTATAATAAATCCGATGTGCTTGAACCTATCACGACGCATTGACAGTCGTGTCTAGGAAGGCTGCCAAATGATGGAGTATGTTTGTCCTTGCCTTGTTTAATGTCCGAGGAAACTAATGCGCGAACTTGGAGCAACTTTTTTACAACAGACCTTTTCAGGCAAGATCCGAAATCTGATATGAATACCCGAGCTGAAATTCATCAGGTGCTGCGAAATAACCGCACAATAGTCACAAACCGCCAACAGGCAGCCCGTAGTACAGAATTGTGTAATTATTTACCTTACTAACAACACAGGTATGAGCTTAAAGCCCAGACACGCGTGTTTTGCCGATCTTGTGCCGCTGCCTGACGCAGCTGCGAGGGGTTCGGCTCATCAGTGGGTCTTCCAGCTTTCCCGTGTGTTTTCTGGTATATGAACTCCAGTTTCAACTTGCCTTGTTTAATTTCTGAGGAAATTAATGTGCGAACTTGGAGTAAATTTTTCAGAACAGACCTTTTCAGGCACGGTCCGGAATCCAACTAATACCTGTGTTGTAAGTACGGTAAATCATTGCACAGATCTATACTACTGGCTGCCTGTTGGCGGTTTGTGAATATTAGGCGGTTATTCCGCAGTAGCTGATGGATTTCAGCTCAAATATTCATGTCACATTTTGGACAGTGCCTGAAAATGTCTGTTCCGAAGGATTTGCTGCAAGCTCGCGCACTGGTTTCCTCGGAAATTAAACAAGGCAAGTTGAGACTGGAGTTTATAAGCCAGAAAACACACGGGGGAAGCTGAGGGATGCACTTATGAGCCAAAGTCCTCGCAGCTGCCTCGGGCAGCGGCACAAGATCGGTGAAACACGCGTTTCTGGGCTCTTAGCTAATACCTATGTTGTTAGTACGGTAAATAATTACATAAGTTCCGCAAATATTCCCATGTTACACCTGAAAAGTCAAGTTGGTAAGCACGCGTTTTCGGTAATTCTTCGTCAGGCCAATACACTTACATGAAGGGATGAAAATGTACAAAATCAACAGTGTTTATAGGTGTCTCAAGGGCTATAAGGTCACTAACACTCATCTTCCCCACGCCGCCCGCCTGAAAAGGTCTGCGGCTTTTGGTCCTCAGAGCTAGGGGAGGAGGGTAAAAGAGTCTTTGAGTGATGTTCTTGGATTGAGTACACAGAGTACCCATCACTGTAATTGGGGATTTGTGGCGACATGCTGTTATCACTTGGGGTCGGCATTGGCCACGGCAGAGGGCGCTTGTGTCATGGTTTGCTGATAGCATAACACCGGATTCACTAGCCGTATAGCCACTGCCTCGGCCGTTAGTATCCGTTGGCAAAGGCCTCTAGAGAAGCTTGGTGTCCGGTAGACAACCTGAAATGCTTCTTTGGCATCGACTCGGTGATTCGCATCGATTAAACGTGCGAGAATAGAACTCGAAATCGACCGGGTCTCACCTCTGTCTAGCCAGGCGGGCATATGTTCACACACCTTCTTTACCAGGCGTCTCGTTGTGCGGCCGATGTCCTTCGTCCTTCCTAGAACTGAGGGCCAGGCTGTGATGACTCCTTCCTAATAAAGACTTCATGCTGTTCTCACCTGTGGGATCAGGCATCCCCACAGAGGCTCCATGCATGCCGCGGGGGAGTGGGACGTGTGTGGCGCGCGTAGACGGGTCGCTCGGTTCTGTCAGTTATTACGTCCGATCTGTCATCGGCTGTCTTAACTTTGTCTCTTTATTGTAGTAAGATGGGTAGGGGGTAAGGTAGGCGTCGCACAAGCTTGTCTCATTACAAAATAATTCATGCGCAGGTCATCGATGTTGCGTCCACTCCGTGGGGCACGCAGTGAACGTTGTTCGCGACGGTCGAACATCTGTTCTGTTGGCTTGAAAACAACGTTCTATCCCAGGATAGACCATTACCAGATCAGAAACACCAGACCACGCGTCCACAGTTGCTCCTCAGCGATCTCTGTAAACGTTACAGCGGATGGTGAGAGTTGCCGAGGAATAACCGTCGTCCGTGGACAGTATCCACGACGGAGTAGCACTCGCCAACCCCCCACTCCTGACTGCGTTCCAGATACGAGAGGCGGGATAGCGAAGAGTAACTGCTACTCCAGACACAGTACGCCCGAAGGCGGCGGCGAAGGGGATGAGGACTCTTGCCGTCAGTCAGACATGCCCAAGGTCAGGCGGGGTTCTGTCAAACGTCCCACCACGAAGCAAGGAGCCCACGCCCTACCGGGTGCAAGGCCACATGGGAATGCCGTTAAGCCACTTGGCATTCCGCTCTGTCTTAAAAGAGAGCCCCTCAATCAGCGGGTGGTAATTGGGCGTGGCCCAACAAAGCTACCCAGCATCGGGACGCGCCAGTTGTAAGTCTCAAGGTTATAAGCGTGGGGAATGAATATAAAGTACATTTGCACATATTAGCGAAAGACGTGTCTTTTTTCAGTAGGTGGAACAAACTACTGCAAATCACAATAGGTTGGACGTACAAAAATAGATAAACTCTGGTAATGTAAATGAAGGAGCGCTGGCAAAAATACCGGCGGTGGGAGATGGGGGAAGGGGTGATTCGGCTGTCGGGAAAGGAATGGCAGGGCAATATCACAGGAGGTTATTGGCCAAAACGCGATCGAAAGAATTGGTTAGGTTTAACAAGAGCTGACGCTGTTCGGCCGTCGCGTCGGGACTGAATACGGAATTCCAGAGGTCGCGAGAGGACAGCTCCTCAAATATGAAGTTGACGCGTTTTACCGACTTCTCGCTGAAGACACGTTCAGTAAGGAACAGCAGTGCTTGTCGCAGTTCTTGGAGGATATCGATGAGGGCGTCGACGTCGAGAGATTTCTCGCAACGCGAGAAGGCAAGAAACAGGAGGACGAACTGTTTGGTCAGCTTTTCAATTTGACACACCGCTGTCATTTCTATCACAGAGGCCTCATATTCCTGGGCCACCACACCAACCTTGATCAGCATTCGTAGGATGGACCTATCGAGTTTGCGAAAACGCTCCTTCGATGGTACGTGTGCCTGTGGACAGGTGAAAGGCGGGAAAACAGTCACATAGATTTCGGAATCAAGAGGGTTAGTCAGTAGAACTTTAACCACGACAGTAAAAGTCTATGGTCCGTCCCAGGAATCGTTAAAAGAAGTGGCTCGTTCGTGGTACTCCGGGAATCATTAAAACCTTGGGACCGTGCTGGCCTGTGCGAGTTTGATTTTAGTGGGGAAGGCAGCCAGACCAAAATATAACTACTACTACTACTACTACTACTACTACTACTACTACTACCACCACCACCACCACCACCACTACCACTGCTGCCACCACCCCACGCCATGGCTATATGATAGCTGCGTACTTTCGTTTGGTAGAGGTTTACATGTGGTTATCGACCGTATGTACGCCGTATTTATTTCCTAGGAACACAATAATGCTGCCGAGGTTTAGCTATCAACTCCGAAAACGATACGTTCGAAAGTATGTCCACCTTTCTTGTTTGCTTGGTGGGCGTACGCCACAAGGTCTTGTGGTTATACGTGCAGCTTAATAGAAAGCGCACAGTTTTGATGTGTCCGTTGATATGGGACGACATTTCGGAGGTCAGTTCTGATGAGACCGTCCTAGCAGGCATTATGAACAACATCAAGCAATCATGTCAGGGTGGTGTTGGGGTTGCCAGATTCATGAAATACAGCACAATTGGCGGTTGATCACAAAAGGGTGGTTATATTTAAGTCTAACCAGGAAGATGTGCGTATTATTGACCTCGATCCCTCCCCACGCTTCACTTTCTAACTATATTGTGATTTGATGGCAAGACTATCGTGCCTGTAGCGGCATAGCTGTGAGAACGTGTGTAGTCTGTGAGCTATAATTTTCAAGTCAAATCCCAGATTGGAAGGAGAAGACGGAGGGCACCAGAATGAGGGGTTTACTGTGCACAGAACCCGGAGTTGTCCTCTCAGGCGGCAGTGGCCACTGGCGAAGCCAGGGCTGATGTTGACTGCGTCCAGTCACGTCTGAGAGTCCTTGGGACAGTGGTGGCGGCCGCTTTTGAGGGCTGGTGGGCCCCAAGCTCAAGTGGTGGCCAGTCAGTGTGTGTTGCATTTACCGAGGGGTGGTGTCTCAATGGCCTGTTTTGTTGGTTGCAGGGGGTGGCGCATGGGTAGCCGCGACACTGTGAGGACGCAATTGTGTTCGATCTGAAGTCGGTCGAGTGGCTTCAGGTCAGCGCGTCTGGAACGGCTCGCCGCAAGGGATGAATGACCTTGAGACAGCGAGGTCTTATGACGCCAGACCGGTTATGATGGCTGCCCGCTACATGCCGTCTGGGGGTGAGGCACGCTGGTCTTGGTCTACTCCGTATACGCGTACCACGACACGGCTGGTCCCCCTCCCATGGCTGGGGGCCAAGCTCCTCATACGACCGAAGTGGTCAGCTGGGAAATCCATACACACTTCCAGATTACTCACGCTCAAAACGTTTCACATGGTTGCCTGGTTGTTTGAAATTTCGCTCCCACGTTGTAAAATGAGCATGAAGTTACAATTATTGCCTGCTTTTGGCGTATCGCAGTGGAAATCTAGCAAATATTGGCAGTACACCAATGTCCCCCGAGTAGCTGCAAGACCATGTATCATAAACTGGTACAGGTCTTGCTAAGTCCATACAACTGCGTCAGTGGACATTTTTTGGGAAAACTTCTGGGCGCTGGGTCTCTATTTCGTACGATGTTCAATTGCTAGGAGCAGTGGATTACCGTGCCAGGTCTTCTAGCAGGCATGTGTACAAACATAATCAAGGCAAGCAACATTCTGAAAAACAACGCCCCGACACGAAAAAACTGTGGAAGAAATTAAGCCTACAACTACCGATTTCCTCAAAACTTGTCGGAAGACAAGATCTGTCGCTTTCGTTGTCTGGCTCACCTAGCGTGGTATCAGAATCCAGGATAGCGCACTCACCCGAAACTCGAACCCCCGGAGTCAGCTGGTCATCCAGCAGTGGGAGATCGGCAGTGTCGTGCGGAACCGAATTCAAATCACGGTATCACCGGCTGATAACGGCAAATGGTCATTCCAGTGCTCATAACCTTATCGGAAGGCAAACTCACTTATTTTGACGGTAAGACGTCAGACACATGTCAGGCTATCCGTCTTGACCTAATTAGCGCTCTAACTAGTTGTCTAATTTCGCAATGTGTTGGATAACATGCAGCTAAGGTTTTAAGATGACCCTGCCGATAGTTATAGATTGACGAAATTGTGCAGATGAGACATTACAAACCTTTTTTCATTGCAATAGAATCAAGGTGTTTGATTACACCCTACAGCAGATGGTGCATAGACGATTTCTGAAGTTAGCTATTTTTGCATCGTTGGCAGGCAACTATGGTGGTCATTGCAACGGTCGGCGCTTTTTTCGATCTACATCTGTTGGCTTCTTTATATAATAAAAAGACCGTATGCAGTAAATCCCCACTTCAAGAGAACTCGAATACACTGAAAGGGTATGTAGATATGGAACATAAATGGCGTAGATCCCCCAGTGGAAGTAACTTAATACGGATATACTACTGTTGACGAGGAGCGGCCATCTGTCTAAACGACTAAGCATGCTTCACGAGGAACGCAGGGTTGAGCAGAATTAGTTACGTTCAGCCTATATCACGTTCTTCGAGTACGTCTTATGGACCATACACCCACACACGCACAAGCACACAAGTGGAGCCGTTTGGAACAGGAGGGCATGGATCTCCAGCCATTAAAGTGTTTTGAAGTACCGAACAGACAAGCGCTTCGTGTGTTGTTCTATAACAACAGAGGTAGGACCACCCCGCCACTGGAAAATCCGCAATGTAAAAACTTGGATAACAATACGTTGCGAAATATGGGCCTGGTCTAAGCGCAGGAAGACGCAATAAACGGGAAACAAGTGGGAAAGGGGGGGGAGGGGGCGGTGGCGGTTGAAATTTACCTTAAGCAGGTAGTGGATGTCGTTCAGAGTTGCAGCAACAAGTGGATTCAGAAGACTCATTAGGAGCTTTCGTTGGGAAAGAAGACGCGGAACCAGATACTTCTTTGCTCTGAGGCCCAGGCTCTGCCGGTCTGCAGTAGAGCAGGAATCGAGTGCAGAGGTAGATACCGACAGTCTGCCAGGCCTGTAGGGCGCTTTTCTGATGCTGGTTATGTCCAGCTCACTTTCATCGGAAGATATGGTGCTCGTCATTTAGAGTGGCAATCGTCTGTTTGGGAAAAAGGATACTGTTCCGATGTTTTAAACTACAAAAAAAGAACAAAGAACGGGTTGCAGAGGGAGGTTTTTCGGGTATGATTGCTTAGTTTCCGAAAACTAGTCCTCATTCAACAGTAGCAGTCAGCACAAACTGCAGACCTAGGCGTCCACCATGGAGATATCATGAGTCGAGGAAACGGGAAAGGCTAACAATAATAATTCGTCTATCGGGATTGATGAAAACTAGCAATACCTAGGGAGCGCTTGGGTTTAAATGCGGTGAAGGGAAAGTCTTCAACGTGGGATTTGAATCTGGGTCAAAACGACTAGAAATTCAGTGAGCACAGTAAGCGACCAAGCATACATTTCGTCTACGCGCGCCACACACGAGCTGGTCCCTCGTTTCGGGCAAGCAAGGCCTGGTTAGCTCAGATCTGAGAATGCTGAGGGTCGCCATAAGAGCGACCCTAAGGGGAGATCATTGCAGACTGACTCCCAGTCCGAACAAGCAAACTCTCCTGTCAGCTGGCAAACTTTCAAGCCACAGCCTTTAGCCCATTAGGTTTATTACATTGTGTGCAGTTATTCCTACTCCGGCTGTGGGATCGCAATCGGACGCAGTGACTCACATGTCACACAGTATTCGTCTCGTGAGCGCCCCACTCGACGGTGCAGTTTGCAGAAAACGCTCGTGAGTGGTGATGCACCTTAAAAGACAAGAATAAACAGGTGGTAACCGATGAAGAAAAAGACGTTTAAAAATCAATTACACAACTGGTGAGGTGATGGTATTAGCAGCAGGGGGGTCCCAGCCCTCCAGCAAGTACCTCGCGAGGACGCGACAAAGAGATGCATCGCAGCCGGTAGACGGCACACTTCCCAGGGGTGTCGAGCTGGCCGACATGCCGGTCCAACAAACCGAGAAATCTACCAAGGTCGACCTTCATCGGGTCAACGCACGTTTTCGTTGGGACACCTTCACACCGTCGTCACCCGCAACCAGATTCGGATAAGGGCAAAT